ATTCTGGACTAGCTGAAGTCTTCGAACACTCTTCAAGTGCAGCCCCATGTAGAGCGTGTTACAGTAATCCAGTCTTGAGGTCAAATTGGTCAAGACAACGTCCCAAAAGTGCTTTTTCAAAAGGCAACTGGTCTTTGTGGGTTTTTTTTTGAAGATGTTTCCATAAGATGTATGTAGGTGTTCCCACTACTAAGGGTATCTGGGAGTGTATCCTGTTTTGATAGAAATCTTCCTGTTAAAATAGTTGAAATGTATATTTCATTATTATTTCATTATTCATTATTTGGGTAATGAAATGGGTATTCACATTTCATTACCCAAACTAGGTGACATCATCTGTGCTAATAAGGCTAAAGGATAAAAATTGAGAGTCAATCCCATTCCTTACTAGCACTGATGATGTTACCTAGTTTGGGTAATGAAATGTCTATAGGAAAACAACCACGCTCAGAGAGCACATCAAGGACCCCTCCCTTTTTTCAATGCTATTGTATCCTTAAACGGTCAACCTATAATTGATTTGATTGCTCGTATGCCTTGGAGTCATTTTCAACTCCTAGCAACAGCAAAATAGCCACCATTTGTTCGCATCTTCCGTTTCCTGAAAGTAACATTGGGGACCTAATGATAGAAATGGGAATTGGCCAGAATTCCCCAGACGGTCATAAAGGAAGTCGACATCAATTCCCAGAATTCATTTTAGCTGAGGAATTCTAGGAGTTGAAGTCCACACCTCTTTAAATTGTTTTAAGTTGAGAAAATTGGAGCACCTTTGATGTAGAAAGTTGTGTTTAAAAAAAAAAAATCTAAATGACAATAGTAGAAGTGTTGATCTCCTTTTAATTAATTGTGCCCAGGGGTAGGTAACGCTGGCCCCTTTACTGCCTGTGGACTCCCAACTCCCAGAATTTCATGCTGGCTCAGGAATTCTGGGAGTTGAAGTGCATAGGTAATAAAGGGGCCTATAGTTGCCCACCCCTGATCCAGCTCATGATGTGCTGCCCTCCTGATTAGCTCATAATGTGCTGCAAAGGGCCAGCTGCAGAGATGGAGCAAGGCCAACCAGTCTGTGTACTTGTCCCTTTGAATAGATACCTTGATTGCAAACCTGTGTGACCTTCCCAGCTGCTCAGCTGTTCTGCTTGTCTCCTGGCAGGTGAAAAGGGTACATCGGAAAGCTAAGAAAGCCAATGTCGTCCTTATAGAGAAATGCATGGATGCCATGAAAACTAAGGGGTAAATCAAGCTATTTTAATTCTCTGGTGTAAAGCACTTCTCCCTCCCTTCTGCTTTCATTTGTTGATAAGCCCTTTCCTGGCACCTCCCACTCATGGCTGAGTTACAGATAGTGATGTATGGCCACAATTGAGCTCCAGATCTCCCATTGCTAAGCGAGACAGTGGTTAAGTGAGTTTTGCCCCATTTTACAAGCTTTCTTGCCACAGCTGTTCAGCTAATCACTACAGCGGTCAAGTTAGTAACCCAGTTGTTAAGTGAATCTGGCTTCCCGTTGACTTTGCTCATCAGCAGGTTATCAAAGGTGGTCACGTGACCCTACAGTGATGGCTAACCTTTTTGCCATTGCGTGCCAAAAGCGGGGGGAGCGAGGGGGGGTCATACACATGCGTGCCCACACCCATAATTCTATGCGCCCTCCTCCCCGCATGTGTGTGGGACTCTCTCCCCCCCCCCCCCCCGCATGCGCTCTCTCCACTTTTGGCACATGATGGCACAGTGGACCAGTTTTTTGCCCTTCCCAGGCACCAGAGCCTTTCTGGGAGCCTGGGGAGGGCAAAAACAGCCTCCTCCACCCCTGGAGACTCTCCAGTGTCAGGAATCGGCCCGTTTACCAACTTCTGGTCAGACCAGAAGGTCCGTTTTTCACTCTTCCCCAGGCTCCAGAGCTTTTTTAGGAACCTGGAGAGGGCGACAACGCCCCCCGCCCCCGAGGCCCACCGGAGGCCAAAAACATCTTGTTTCCCAACTTCTGGTGGGCCTAGAAGGCCCGAAAATCAGCTGGAGCTCGCGGGCCCACTAATATGGCTCCGCATGCCATAGGTTGGCCATCACGGCCCTGGAACAAGGTCATTAAAACAATTTTCATCACATGACCATGGAGATGCGCAATGGTTGTAAGTGTGAAAATCAGTCTTAAGTCACCTTTTTCAATGCTGTTGTTAACTACAAATTGTCACTAAATGAATATTAAGGTACTGCCTGTATTTCCTGGTCCAAAACAAGGCTCCCTGCTTCTTCTGGAGAAAAAGGTCTCTCCCCCATAGATGAGCCCAGAAAGGACTCAACTGCCCATTTTGCCTGTGTAGAAATGGAGGCATACTTTGTAGCCGCCATGTGAGAACCAGACTCATCCAAGTTCTGGAACATTCCTGTATTTTCAGGTTGGTCTTCCTGGAATTAAATCCAGGATTGAGCAGGATGGGGCCTAGGAACATTCCAGGATCCTGACTTTCATTTTCAGCTTCAGCACAGCCTGATTAGAAAAAACAGCTGATTGTTGGTTCAGCCTCCTGACCATCAGCTGATTGTCATTGCCTATTGCCACCTCCATGATCCACGGTGGAAAATGGGGCATGGGGATGCAGCAATAGGCTATGGCAATCCCTGCAGCCTGAAACAGCTGATCGTTGGTAGGCGATCCAACAGCTACTTGTGCTAATCAGGCTGTGCTGAAACTGAAACTTGTTTGTTGCAAGGAGGCAAATTGCTGGGAGGCAGAAGCAGAGGCAGATTTCCCCCCCCCCTTGTTTTCCTCCCCAAAAGCTAGGTGTGTCTTACACTTCGGAGCGTCTCATACTCTGAAAAATACGGTAAATAGAAAATCAGTGGGGAGGGAGAGGAAAGAGAAGTGAGGAAAGGTAAGAAATAAGAAAGAAAAAGAAGCATTGACTTCCTAGTCTCTCTGTTACAGTAAAATAAGGCATTAACATCAAATCACAACTTTTTTTTTGCTTTTTTGTGATAATATGAACAAGCCATTTCTATAAAGATCTATCAGTCTAATTGGTGAAACCCAAAGTCAAAAGTTTCATTCTTTTCCACATCGAGTACAAAGTTCAGAAGCGGTTTCCATTTGGAAACACAAGTACTTATGGTCAGTTTTGCCCTTTCAGCCAACTCCATCAACTTCTGCAACCATTCTTCCACAGTAGGAATCTATGCGTCCTTCCATTTATAACAACGTTCCAAATTTTTTTTCCTCCAATTCTTTTTCCATTAAGCCCAAAGGGAAAAGTTCTGGTTTCATTTTTACCTCCATACCAACTCTAGACCTCTGTGTATCTTGCAGTCATATCTTGAGTGCATGAGAAATTGTAGCCATCTTTAAAAAAATAATTGTGTGTGGTTTTATATCAGAAGCAAATTCTCCATTGGGAATCTCTCTTTATCCATAAACATAGGGATATGCATAGGTTTAAAACTGGGATTGCCTATAGCTTCCTCTTGGCTACGGGTCCTGCATCCTCCCCACAGGCTGAACATCCTTACTTCAGTTTTGCAGTAGATTTGAATTTGAGTGCCAGATGAGGATCCCTATCTATCTG